CGGAGGTGGGTAGGATGACAGCTTACATGGCAGACAGTATTTGAAAAATTTCCTCGGCGATCGATCATAGTCGATGTACACAAGACAGTTCACATAGGGGGAGGAGGGATCTTAGATTTTGAATACCCGCCCGACGACCTAGATATCTCAATACTACATGCTCTACACCCACGCCCAAAGGGGAGGCTTTTCCCCCATTCGATCCTGCACATTCCATTATTGGCCTACGCACAACCCATCTCGTTCGCTTTCTTCCCCAAGAATGCCGTAAGTCCACTGGCCTCGACGGGAGTCTGGCACAAACACTGACCGGTGAGCAGACCGCACTCCGACCAGACAGCCTCACTGGTGTCTCACTGGATGGAAAAAATCGAGTGCCCTCGAGGCCAAAGTATAAGACGACCCCTTCGCAAAGCTCGTGAAGGTTGCCATGCTGGACACTAGCTGTGGTCCCAATTTTGAATCCATCTCCGATGTGACCTGCGCTGACAATACGCGGACCTTGCATTGACAAGCAACGGGGACAAGAGAACTCCAAGCGATGAACGTGGACATGGTACTTGTGGGTGGGGCCTTTTGCTTCAATGGGATAGAGTAAGTCAAAATCAGCGAGGAAGTTCGGTGGATTGGAGCTTCAAAATGGAGGTGCGTATGTTGTATAAAACGGCTGTGGCCGATCCGATTCTGGCGGCCTTTCCACGATTCCTGTACCGTTTCTTGGCGCATGGGGCTTGGCGCTCAGGACTTGGCGTGCAAAATGGTGACTCCGTACCTCTACCTACTAACGTGGGACTGTTACCGCGAAGGCGCAGTTGGAAGTTGCTTCAGTGTCATGGTTCCAGCTCTCAACACTGCGGTTCCAAATTGGGCCTAGTGCGGCTTGGCATTACCTACATAAACAGCCTTCATGTCATGTAGACACCTTCATAGCTATTACTGCTTTCACACTGTGCACCCTATCATTCAGACCCTATTCCGGTCCATGATATTCTTGCAATGGCTAGCCACATGTAGTATAGCTATGCTTGGCGGAGGGGATATCTTGCTGCAGGCTTCACAGGATCGATACATCCCTCCTACACACTACGAACGCTGTTCTTGTTCCACAACATTTCTGGCGCAGACTGTACGCCTAATGTGCTTTTTACTGTACGCGTTGGGTCAGCCATCCTTCTGATCCTTTGATCGCCCAATCCAGCTCCTATGACTCATATGTGTTGCTGCCTGCAGCGGCCTTCCGGGGGCTTGATCTATAATATGCTCTCGAGATACCATGGCAGAGTGTCAGCTTCGGTCTCGTCACTCCTCCGACAGCCATCATTCAAGCAGGATATCAACACACTTTATTCCCAAAACCGAATTCGCCTTTTAACACAAACCAGACATCTTCACGCCATGGAAACATCCACAGCTCTCACGCAGTCCATGTATCATATCACGACGACAAAGCTCAATGCACTTTCAAAGCAGCAGCAGAGCTATGAAACAATAAAGCAACGTATCCTTGATGCTGCTGCCAGTCAGTCCACTCAAGTCGGCAAAGTAGAGATACTGCTAGATGCCTTCGAGGTTCACGACATCGACACACCAGCGAACATCTCAAAGATCAATGTTCGCCAATACCTAGAACAGTCTCGTCACGATCCTTCCGTTCCCTCGACGCTGCTCAGAGAATGGCAGACGGCATTCGAGCAGGCTTTAGACGTCCCGTCTCGCAAATACGAACAAGCCTCTTTGTTTGGGCGCCTGGTCATGGAGTGGCTTGGCAGTGCGGGGGAATCGCCACTCAGTGATACACCAAGCAGCTCCCAAGATCATTTCGAGCATGTGGGGCGCAAGGAAATGTACGACCAACGCAAAGAATGGGAGTCGGTTGTCTTCACTGAAGGTTCAACATCCAGTCCCGCTGCAATTGAGACGTATCTTACCGGCATCTTCGGCTCCACTTCGAAAGCTAAAAGAATGGTGAAAGAGCCTTTGGATAGTTTGAGAGAAGGCATGAGGTCTTTCAGGCTTGGAAATTTCGACACCTCTGCTCTTCAAACCTGTATGACGGGGATGCTGGAGACTGATCTGCTCTCCGAGGAGAAGCGAAAAGCCCTAGCCGACTTCAGGAATAATCCTACCATCCTGCAAGAAATGGCCGATGTCTTGAATATGCAGGTAGACGCTCTGGATTCTTGGTCGTGGGGTGAAGCGATACCTGTCAACGTCCGAAGAGCTCTGAATGGTAAATACCGAGTATTCATGGACGAGGAAATTCTCCAAGCGTTGCTCCTTCATTTTATTGGTATGAAATGGGCGACGCATTTCAGAACCGTTTTTGATACATTCTTCCGTTCAGGTGCATGGAAACAGTCTTCTGACAACCTACTGGATGGACAAGCCAGACGGAACCGACAGAGATTCTTGGGTCAGGAAGACGGATGCGAACGAAGCGTCAGGAATGCAAGACGTGAGAAGTACCAAAGTGATTATTTCTTGTCGCAATTACCGAAAGCGTTCAATGACACGACAGACAATTACTGCAAAGGCAGTCCAAATGACGACGTTAAGTCACCAATGGCCATCAAGCAGTCATTGTTACACCTTATCAGCACAGAGGTACTGTTGAATGTTCGGCTGAACCGGTCTGTCACCGTCTTCCAGTCCGACTTCAAGTGGTTTGGGCCTTCTTTACCTCACGCGACTACTCTTTCGGTCCTACATTTCTTCGGCGTCCCCGAATTTTGGCTCAAGTTCTTCGAGAAATTCTTGAAAGCGCCTGTGAAGTTTGTCCAAGACGGTCCAGGAGCTCAAACACAGATCCGGCAGTGCGGCGTCCCAATACAGCATCGACTCAGCGATGCTATGGGAGAAGCTGTGCTGTTCTCCTTAGACTTCGCTATCAACAAGTCGACAGGATCGAATTTATACAGATTGCATGATGACGTCTGGTTCTGGGGTTCTTCGCATGCTTCTGTTTTGGCATGGGAGACCAGTCAAGAATTTGCAAGTGTCATGGGACTGACTCTGAACGAGGAAAAGACTGGGGCAGCGAGCGTCTCTGGCAATTCAGATTTGCCTCAAGAGACTTCACTCTCGAATAGGCTCCCACAAGGCGAGGTTCGTTGGGGTTTTTTGAAATTAGGATCATCCGGAAAATGGACAATCGATGACCAGCAGGTCGAGACACACACCCGCGAGCTCCAACAGCAATTAAAAGCGTGCAAAAGCGTCCTCGCTTGGGTCCAAGCGTGGAATGTTTACGTCGCGCGCTTCATCTCGAACAACTTTGGAGAATCCGCGAACTGCCTCGGTCGTCCTCATCTGGATATGGTGATAGAAGCATTCGATAAGATTCAGCGCGGCCTCTTTGCCGATGTCAACCTACCTGGCGACAATGTGGGGGAGTATCTAAGGATAGAGCTGGCTTCGAGATTTGGTGTTGAGGGCATTTCGGATGGATTCTTCTACTTTCCCATCGAGCTCGGAGGGCTCGGCATGCGGAACCCACTTATTCCTCTGTTTCTAGCCCGTAAAGAGAGCTTGAAGGATCCAGGGGTCAAGCTCGATGAAGCCTTTGAGCTTGAAGAAGCTGACTACAACAACGCGAAGCAGTCGTACGAGGACGGCACCTCAATGTCGGGGCTTGTCCATCCAAATGCAGATATCGAACCTTTTATGTCCCTGCACGAATATACTAGATATCGCGAAGAGACGAGCATACACTTGCATCAAGCGTACATTGATTTGCTTGCGCCTCCAGGGAGCGCGATCGTGGAACCGACCCCAGACATACAGAACGCCGTTCAGAAATTGGACCCTATCCCGGCCGGTCAGGGACGGAGTTTATACGAGCACTGGGTGCTGCAGCTGTATGGTGCCGATATCATCAAGAAGTATGGCGGCCTGGCGTTGGGTGAGAAGAAGTTGCTGCCCATCGGCCTCGCGGGTATGTTACGTGGCGAGAAAATTAGGTGGCAAAACTGAGTGAGCGGTGATCAATTAAAAGCGGGGCGGGACAGGATCGACTATTCCCCCATCGATCGATTTACAGCGTGCTGGTCCGGTTCTCGAAGCGGACTTTGATGGCGATGCTTTCTGGTCCGTGGCGTTGACTGGTGAATGTTCATACTCAGCTCCAGGCAAAATGCTTTGTATTAGTACTTTGAAATGATGTCACACTAAATACCATTGAAGTTGCCTAATCTGGGCATTATCCGCTTTCCATCAGCAACGGCAGTGCACTAGAACATCCTCTAAAGCACAAGCACGTCTGCCCACGCTGACAATTTCCTCAGCCCGAATCCTTGATACTCAGTAAACCAATCCTAAGCAAGAAGGCGATCCTCACCGTAGTACAAACCACCGACTTCACCCAATCAGCTACGCTCAGCTCCCGTAAAATCCCGAAATACACACCAGATCCAGGCGTAGACACGGTGTACAAACGCCCAAAATCCGCAATAAGAAGCTCAAACCGCATCCACCACCATGCTTCGACATCAGAAGTGCTGCGCAAGATCAACTCTTCGATTAAAGCGAAATGAATGTAGACGCTTGCGAGTTGGGGGAGTAGAGCATTGGATTATGGATACAGTAATCAATGCTCCCAACAGTGCGCCCTCAAATCACGGACTATCGGTTTAGACGGACTGGTTATGGACTGGTTCGGATGTTGGACGGACTGGTCCGACTAATAGTCTAATAATTCAATTTGTGTAATATGATTAGACCGTATATTTGAGTATAGTAGATGTATTTTTAGTAATAATAGAGTTAACTGAGAATAAAATTTTCTTCATAGATCGCTATATTATTATTATAGTTATTATTTTATAGTTATATTATTATAACAGACAGTGATAACGAATCCGAGCTATCAGAGTCTCTTACTGTCGCTATGAATCTATTCAGTATTACCGTAAGGTCTACAGTCTCGGACTACTAGTCGAACCAGTCCAAATCTACTTGGACTGGTTTAGTGTTTGGACGGACTATGGACTGTTTATATAGTCTTATTTTGGACTAGTCTGAGCGTCTGGACGGATTAGTTGGACTGTTGGGAGCATTATCAGGATACTCGATCCTTCGCTCCATCAGGAATGTGACCCGGATTCGCCGCCCGAGTCGACTGTCCGAGCCCAACATGTTGGAAACAACTTGGTATCATCGGGCCAACCGAGACTATCTCCTTCGATGCCGATGATCTTTGTCTGCGTGACCGGCGGGGATCCAGGTATCGATTGGTCAAAGGCATAGGGTATCAAGACCGGTGTAGACGCCGCCATCACCGTGGAGAATGAAATAGCGCATGACGTTTGCACACAGCAGTGAATCCTGGAGAGCTAGGAAATCATGAATGAGTACTGTGGTAACCGAATCTTGGAGAACGGAAAAGCCAAGTCGTGAGCGAAGAGACATGCTGTAGATTTGCTTGAAAAAAAAAACACGGCAGGTCATGAGCTCGGTGTGGCCGTTGGAACTGTAGATGGCCGGCGTTGAGCAGCCAAAAGGTGAGACAGTGCTGCAGAAGCCGACGCCCCGAGACTTGCACCGGGTTGCGGACCCCCGGCCGCTGCTGGAGAAGACGAGCTTGTGTCGAGTACCGCCTTCTCTTCGTTGCTCGTTGGCAGCGAGTTGTTCGCTGACTTACCATCGACCACGTTCTTGACTGCTTCGAGTCGCGCGGTATTGATGCCACTGAATGCGTCCGATAGTTTGTCACGGCGCTCCGGCGTATGATAACACTGGACTTTGCCAGGTCCCGTACCCGGCGACGGTCCCCCTGCCGAGTGCACGGCACGTTCGACGCAGCCGGCTTTGAAGAGGCTCAGGAAGAAAAGCGCGTACTGGGTATCCCTCAGATGGCCTTCAAACTCATCCTGTGTGTCTGTGTGGAAATCGAAGACGGATACGAAACCGCATCCCCATTCTTCATCAAGGAGCCTTCCGCCATCGCTGCCGGCCCATCCGTTGATCCCATAGACTTCAAAGAGAGTCTCTCCGAACAGGTCGTCACCAAGATCCCGACAGCTGGCACTGGGGACGGCCGCGGCGGAGACGTAAGACGCTGATGAACTTGCGGATGATACGGATGCGGCTGAGACGGATGCAACAGATGCAAACGAGGCAGTAGATTTGGAGTATAACGAGGCGATAGAAGGGACAATGAAAACGACTGATGTTGCACCCGCGCATACTGGATTCGTATTGACCGCGTAATTGTAGTACGTAGAGGAAGCGCAAAAGACGACATCTCCGTTGGATTCGGTGGTTATGAACGGCGTTGCAGTTGCGAAGACTGCCGTCGGCATCGTCGTGAAACCACAAGGGTTGAAACTGCTTTGACCGGTGGAAGAGCTGAGGTAAGGGAATATGCCATCGAGTCCGTCACACATGCATCCTGGGGGCGCTGGCCCCGCGTCAGGATCCTGGAACGGATAGCAGGTGAACGAGGAGGTCGGACTGGGCCCTGACGGTCCAAGGGACCTAGATAGTGAGGCGGATGGTGTCGTAGAAGGATCAGCAAAGAGTGTGGATGCGACTTGAGGAGCCGGAGCAGCCTGGCCAGCACCGGCGAAAAGCAAAGCGACCGTGAGCGGCAAGAGCCTGGTCATGTCGAGGATCGAAGGGATAATGACCGTGCAGATGGAATTGAAATGGATGAAAATTCAAGGCAGGAGATTCGGGAGGACGCGCTGCCTCTTAACTCTTAACAGCCCATTCGCAAGGAGATTCATACGGTATAAAGGAGATAGGCACGGCGTAGTAGATAGTCTTCATCTCGCTACATACATCCTCTCGCCTCTTTATGTTGTGTTTTGAGGTAGTTTGCTCACCTTGATTCCGATCACGTTTGCGCGAATTTGAGGAATCAGTTGCTATCCGCCAAGGGACGGAGATACAAAGGGCGGATCCTAGAAGTGTAGTACCAACCCCGTATGGACAGAAAAAGAGTCGAACCACTTATAATAGAAGTGTTTAGTAAGATACTGAGAAGGGCGAGGCTGGCTCGAAGCGGGGTTGGGGGCTCTCAGATGACGTGGAAGACGGTATCGGTAGATTTAGGGTATATCAAGAAGCTCAGAACTTCAAGCGATGCTCCCAATAGTCCGACTAGTCCGTCCACAGGCCTAGACTAGTCCAAAATGAAGCTATTTACACAGTCCACAGTCGGTCCAAATGCTCAATGGTTTAAATATATTTAGACTAATCTATAGACCGATTCGACTACTCCTCTATAACTTCTAAAATATCTTCCTCCAAAGTACTGATAATAGCATATAGATTTTTCCCGATAAAGAGACCCAATGAAACCACAACTTCAGACACTTTAAGAGCTCTATAACCTCGGCCTTAAGACTAGGTAGCTCTCTGATCTGTAATCATATAACCCCATTGCTACTAAAAATACGCCCGTTATACCCGGATATACACCACCAATTTCATTCACACAAATTTATATCTGGACTAATAGTGGAACTAGTCCGTCCAGACATCTGGACTGATCCATATATAGTCCGTCCATCCATAGACCAGTCCACTGTGGACTAGTCGGCAGATGGACTGGAGTCCGTACTTTCAGTGGTGAATTGGTGCCCGTCATCGTCGATGGTCTTACTGGCTCGATCTTTTGGGTCTCTTTGAGGGTAAAAGGGGCGTTCCAATAGTCCAACAGGGTCAAAGGGTCATCACATTCACCACCCCTCCGTCATCCCCCACCACCAGCTTTTACTAGAGGCAACAAGCGCTTGGTAATTCCATTCCATTCAGGTCTTTATGCTATCTACAAAAGCCAAACATTCTTATCCTTAACCGTTGTAAATCGAATGCCGGACCTTATCCAGACCCTGTCGGACAAACATCCCAGAAAAGAAGTACAACGCTCTAAATCCTCGGTCGTCAAAGCCATAGTCACATATCTCAAGAGGCGGCCTGCAGAGATCTTATTCAAGCAATGCCAGACCAGGCTTCGGCATCTCAACAGCGACGCCGGATGTGCTTCAGCATAGGGTTACAGTACATAACACAACATACCTAGCTGCGAAGTGTAGAATAACACCCTGGCCACCTTCTCCGCGCTCAAAATTCCAAGCCCCGAGCTCCAATCCAGCAAACATAAAACAATGCCACATGACAGACTCAGCCTCGTTCCCACATCAACATGAGCTCGCATCAGGATGCGAGCTATGAGACGCTGCTCAAGTACCTCCTACTACCGCTTTGGCGAGTGTGTGATTTCCGAAAAGCGGCCGCTTCTCACGGATTCGAAATGGCACCGCGTGGGATGCTGGAACCGGTAGTAACCATAAAAGCCGGCTGATTCAAAACCGTTTCGTTGCGAGGATCTTGCCGCATCTTCTTCTAGGCGTCGGTGAAGATGATACCGTATGACGACAATAGTGCGTCGTCATTCGACCGTCTTGGGCCAGAGCTTATCCGTCAGTGAATACGCTCAGCTTGTGTGTGTCATGTCACTGCTCTACCATCTCATGAACCATGGACGTAGGGAGAAAGGAGCGAGCCCAGAGACGGGGTTTCGTCCTGGGGCTCCGAGTAATCTTTACTGTAAAGTATTTTCTAACCACCCGATACGCTAGAGTGGCGCGGGAGCCGTGATTCATTATGTAGCATGATTGCATAAAAGCGTACACGTCTACGCGTTGGGAAGCCGTCAGGGTTCGTTCCCCTCGCCATCGAATCGAAACCCCAACTCCTCATAAGTCAGGACGTTGGATCGCTCTTCGCCTCTCGCGTTGAACGCCTTCTTCATCTCCGCCGCCATCATCCGCACCCAGCACGCTCTCGCATCCCACCGTTTCGGCATTTTGCCACCCGCACCGCCCTCGCACGCCGCTGTCTCCGTGGCCGTGCTGCTCCAGTCGTACATTTCCTTCATGTACTCCAGGTCGAGTGGAGGTTTCAAGGCGTGGAACTCCCGAGCAGCTCCTCGTTCGCGAACAACACTTTCTCGCCAATCCTGCATTTTGTGTCGATTCGGGAGGGTTAGCCGACTTGACCACACCCGTGCTATGACGGCAGCTTGGCATTCAGCCAGTGGGAACGGGACGATCATTTCCGGCGTCTCTATGAACGCTAAAGTCGGATGTTGTATGTGGAAGATATATTGGTAAAGAGGCAGTGCTCGGATCCCTTCATCTTTGATGGCCGGATCAATTGGAGCTAGGAACGGAAAAGAATAGGCGTATCCAGTGCATAGGATAATGGCATCGATGTTGCGTTCGACACTTCCGTCTGCGAATTTCGCTGCGCGCTCATCAGGTATCAGTGCAACGAGGGTTGAGTAGTCGCGCGTATCCGGTTCGTCAGTATGGTAAGGAGATTTCTTCGGCTGCGCGCTGAGGAAAGGATGCTCGCATACTCTAGCGATTTGTCGGCCAATATCTGCACCTGAGGGGCCGCCGCCTACGAGAAGTACACGCTAAATTGATCAATAAGGTTCCTAGTGAGACTATTGCTTCACGGAACAGAGCGAATAAAAATTGACGAGATTCTCGCTTACCTTCTTCTCGAATGCCTTAGGGTTTTTGAATGATACCGAATGATAGAGTGAATCCGGGAACTGTTTGCACCAAGCGTCGAGACCCTCGACTTTAGGCAACAAGGGCCAATCACAATGTCCGTTCGCAGCAACGACCGCGTCGAACCTCTCTACTTTGCTCTCTCTCTCAGCTGTGGCCTTTGTGGTAATCTCCCATCCATGGGATTCATCGCCTCCCGTCGGTCTCACTTCGTGGACCTCATGACCGAATCTGATCATGGAAATGATATCGCTCGCATAATCCTGCAAATACTGCTGTACAGTGTCTCGCCTGGCGAACAACTGTGTCCTTTCTGGGAATGGCGTGTCCGAGAACTGCATCAGCATATGCGGCAGGTTGCTTTCAAGGCCTTCATACATGGGTGTGTTGAGCTTGGGTAAGTTAGCGGTTACGACGTCCAGAGCATTTGGCTCGGAAGATCCATTCAGATCGCCATTGACAGATGACTGCCGCTTGGGAGGCAGTGGCGTGTAGTTCCATGCGCCACCGACAGAATTTCGCTGCTCGTATATGATGATCTCTGAAAATGCGTTCTCGGCGAGCAGATATCTGAAGTATGTCAGCTCTGCGTACTGCGAGTCAGCCAAATTTGGTGGGGGGGTCATTACTTTGCGGCTGCAAGACCAGAGGGACCGGCTCCAATAATGGCAACGCGTTTGATGGCACCAGGGGTGATTTGTGTCATTGTAAAGTGATTGAAACTCGATAACGCCAGGCTCCGGGTGACCAGGTATGATGGATTAGGAGGTGAAGTCTTTGTAGGAAATAGCTAAGTACCCAGAGACAGCAATTCAGTGTTCTGATGCAGATAGATAATCTGGGCAAAGGATGCCTTGGTCGGTTTTAAAGGACGACCTAAATTACGCGCTAGATGCTTAGTACGCTTGGCATCAGCATTTAGCTCTTCCCACCACCAGAATCCGATGGTGGGAGGACTGACAAGCCAGCCTTGTCGTATGTGAAGTCCTTCTTGCAGTAGCATATCAAAACTCAGACTGTGAAGAAGATACCCTTATAGACTTCGTGAGCATACAGCACTCGGTTTGATAGAACCCTAGCCCTAGAGTAATGCCCCAGTCCTTTCGCATCCTTTGGGAATGACTCCATCAACTCTTCTTCGCCAAGCAATTGACGATGGCAATGTATGTAGCGAATTCCATGCATGAAATCCGGCACCGATTACGGGATGGAGCTAGCGTGCACTAGCGCCGCCGGTGAGATGTTTCCAACGGTGACAGCCTAGCGGCACGACTCTCGGTCCCATGGGTTCGACTCGATATTGAGGCTCTAATGATAACACTAGCTGGTCAATCAGTGCTCACACCGCGAATAGGCACCCCCGCACTTTAAACTTTCCTGCAAGCACGGAGGGATTCTATCTTCGCGGTCATATGTCCCCTCGTCGGCTTGCTCCATATGCCGGCAGTTGCAGTGTGACCTACCGATTTGATCGGAGCATAAATGCCTTTTATACAGCCCTGTTACGTTACGGTGCCTGTAGGCTTTACTTGTATGCAGGCATGCGGTCGGTGGGAAAGATGTTGATTGAGTATGGAGCTGGCAATGCACATGTGCCGAGACTAGCCACATCGAGTAGAGAGCGACGACTGAATATGCATGAATCCAGCCCGTGACAGTACTTGAGCGAACATTCATCCGAACCTTCCTGGCACTCAAGTATTCGCAAACGCCAAGCCCCAAGTCGCTCACAGTCAGACCAAAAAAATAGGCAGCAGACGGAGATCGACTGAAACTCTTTTTGCCTCGTGGCCGTACGGGAGCTAATCTGTCTAGGCTGATTCTGACTTCATTGCGCATCCTAAGAGCGGCGCGACGTTACCGCACTAGTACTAGCGTGGCTTGACCCCACACCTACCTTACCTTACCTTACCTTATCTACCGCAGTATCTCCAGTATGCGGAGCAGCAGGAACACACACCATGATTTGTTGACTACGTCCTTTGTCTCTGGCAGATGCAGTAAGTAGGACGAGATGAAGTGGGCAGAGCCAGATACAGTAAGCAGGGCGAGATGCCGTAAGCGCTAGGCAGGGCGTAAGTCCAGTTAGATCGGTATGCATGAGGGTGGCACTGCTGCGTCGCTCGATCCAAGCGCAAGGCTATGCTATCGCGCAGAAAGAAGCACTGACAAAGCTGTGCAAAAGGCGGTAGGTAGCCAATCTCTTCCTGCTTTGTTTCATCTGCTCCTTGTGTGCGGTTGTTGTTCCTTCGGTCTATCACAGGCACTGCAGTCTGCGATACGATCGTTATAGATATCATCTATGGCAGTTACTTTCGCCTTATAGCCGTATCAATCAACTTTACGCTCCTATCCACATCACGGCCCTTGCGAGCTTCAAAAGGGACAATTCTCTTCTCTGGTGTGAACTCAAGTCCGCATTGGGCAGATTCACGCCCAAGTCTTTTTCATTATCCAGAACCTTGCGTACTTGGATTTCTTGTATCAAGAATGGAGAAGCCAACTACACCTCCCCCAATAGGTAACGCGGACAGATCGGGCGGGTTGCTAGGCACGTCGATACTTGCCTTAAGCTCCGTGCTCATTTTTATCGGCTTACGTTTTGCGACTCGAATATGGCTTGTGAAGAGGGTGGGATGGGACGATTGGTGTATAGTGTTTGCCGGTGTAAGTCTCCTGCTTCGCGAGCAGTCTGGTTGAAGGCTGCTGAAAAGTATTAGTTTGGTCATATTATCGGCATGGGCCTGATCACTGTTCAAATCGGATACGGCTTTGGGCGACCTGCGTATTACCTCACCGAGCATCAATTCCAAGAGTTCATGAAATACTCCTACGGCGAATGGCTGCAGGTCAGCATCCTTCAAATACTAATCGACTCAAACCTTATCTAAGGCCTTCTCACAGACCTTTGCGACTTTGACATTCACCAAGATCTCAATCTGCCTCTTGCTTCTGCGCATCACAATCACCAAAGCCTTCATTAGACCGCTATACGCCGCCATCTTTGTCCTCGCCGTCAGCAATGTAGTACTGAGTTTGGTATGGATATTCCAATGCACGCCGCATCTCGATAAAGCTTGGAATTCGAGTCTGCCGGGAAAGTGCTTTTCCAAAGGTCAACTGGAAAGGATCATCATTTCTCAAGCAAGTGAGTCATATTCCGAGGATCAGTCGATCTATACTTACCACCTCCAGTCATATCAATCATCTCCGACTACTTCCTCTCAGCTTTTCCAATCCTCATACTGCGCAAGGTTCAGATCAGCCTCCGAAGCAAGGTTGGCCTGTGCTTGCTTATGGGTCTTGGTGTTATGTAAGCTTCAGTCACATCGTCGCTCTTATTGCTAGGCACTGACACTCAGAACGACAGCACCGGCTCATTGTCGCTAGTTCGGACAATTCTCAACTATCAAAACGTAACCAATGACCCAACCTGTAGGACTCCCCGGCAAGCAGATGCAGAAAACGCCATTTAACTGACACTAAAATAAAGGGCTAAGCGTACCCAATTGGTATTGGCGTACATGGGAAGTCTTATTCGGCGTTGTCGCAGCTTGCATACCCACCTTGCGGCCCTTGTACAAATGGCTTGTCCAAGAATACACTCGCCTGACAAGTGAAAAAACGCCATCGAAACCAGCGACTGATCAGTGGAGCGCTCCGAAACCATCCGTCGCCTTACCACCCAAGACATACGGCGCCAAGTTCGACGAGAGTGTGCTCCGAGAAGAAGACATGCTACCGCTGCAGAGTTTCGAGGGCGCCGGTGGCTCGGACAATATCGAGCGAGAGGTGAAGCAACACGCGCAGGAACGGAAGACGAGCGAAACGTTGGACTTCAAGCCGGGCTTGCACATCCACGGGGATCTGAGCACGAACCGGCCGGGACATTTCAAGCGGTGGGATTCGGAAGCTAGGATAGGTGGCGGGCATGGAGTGGAGGAGGTTGAAGATCGGATCTAGTTTGAGCTTCAAGATGCGAAATGTATACCAAAGTAGTGTGGAGCAATACAACAAATGACGAACTTGTGCTCTAGCCGTTGAGTCGCCTGTGTATTGTAAAGTACGGTCATAAACGGATAGGGTTATGGCCCGGGACTGGCAAACTCGTAGTCTCAGTAATTCAGACTCACGGCTAGCCGGGGTACCTATGGCCAGCCCTACACTCGTGCCTCGCTTCGGGGCCAATCATATCGCAAGCTCATTACGGCATACCCCTCCCTTAGAGTCTGAGTAGGAAACCCCGAATCGCTACATTGACCGTTAATTTGTATGGGCCCACCGCAATAATTACCCCGTTAACGGGAAGTCGCGACTTCCTCAATTTTCCAGCCATCACCATATTATCTTTTGATATAATTGGGGGCAATAGGCCTTTCGAGGTCGCTAAACAAGTACATACACTTTTTATTATGATCGGATAGCTCGTTGTTGTCGCTAAGCTCATCCGACACGCGTTCTCCGCTGACGATTACAGCACCCACCTCCAGCCGATCACCCTCCGATGATTAAATTCCAGACGATGGCGCATCGTGTTCAGCATCATTAAAAGATCATATAACGAGTCGGGTGTAATGATTGATCCAAGTTTGACCGTGTCACTGTCTTATGGAAATCGAGCACTGGAGCCATCCCCCTACATACAGATCCATCAACTCGAAAGTGCATTACTCAGGAGTTGGAGGGAGCATAAAACACATACCTTGAATGGTTTTGACGCGCTTGACGCGTTCAAAATGGACTTGAGCGTACGAGGAGACTGTGGGGCGCTTAGGTACGCGATTTTTCTCTGACGACGACAGCGAGGTATCTTCGAACTATATATATTGACCTCTTTATACCTTGCAGGAACATCCTTCCTCCTGATGAATACGAAGTTTTAAAACATTTGGCGGACCAGTTCTGGAGCAAAGAGAAAAAGTCATTATTTGGTTCCTCGCAGCCATGGAGAGGTCTCAGCCATGGAGAGGTCTCAACCATGCCACCTATTTGGGCTATCGCAGCCATGGAGAGGTCTCAACTATTCCACCTAATTGGGCTACCGCAGCCTAGAGATGTCTCGGTTATTTCAGCTAATCGGGCTACCGCAGCCTGAGTCTGTTGAGACGTACGGCGTTCTTGAGTACTGGTGCCGCTGCTATGGCTGAGTTAGCTGGTTTTTTAGTGGAATTGAATTGGAAGCCTACTTCTTAACCACTGCACCACAGCCCCTACGAAGGCCTATTTGACTATTTATTCGACCTTTTCAGAATTCCAAAAGGCCATATCACGTAGTTGCGCATTTTTGTTGAGGATCATATGTACGCAGGGTGTGAATATTACATATCGGGCAATACACCAAAAATAAGTCTTGGCAGGGTTTCCTATAGACCCACCTCAAGGCCGGTGGGGCCAAGCTGAGACTAGATCGACGATTTATAGCCGTATAAAAATGTGGCTAAGAGGATTAATATAACATGTAACGAAGGGGCAATGAGTCAGTATCAAGAAGAACCCAAAGCACGATTTGAAACCGACGACGAACTGCAAACTTCGAAGAAGAATACCCGTGCACGAGTCAAAACCCAGCTCGCCGCCAGGCTTCCGCATTACTTACGTACCGACGCACCTTTCACGGGCCGAAGATTACAGAAGCTACTGTATCAGCCATCACTTCGATCCCGCCCAGCTCTCCCCCCTTCCTTCAAAGGAATCCCCGTTTTGTTACGTGGAGATACTGCAAGATCGACCTCCCAGCAAGGCCTATTTATCCATCGCTCTCCGGACTCTCAAAACATCACGACCGTGACCCTGCCCCTCCATCTACGACTAACAATCTCCAGCACGTGGTTCCGAACGCGGACGAGTCGAGAGGTGGTACGTGATGGGGGGTAATTACCGAGTGCCAGAGTAAGACGCATTTGATTTGCGGCGGAAGGGCTAAAAGGTGTCAGTGTCGAAGGACTTCCTCGGCTTTTTCAAGACTGCTGTGGTAAGATGTTTCGGGACGTACTAGTACAGGCAATTGACCTTACTTTATCGCGTGAGCTCACCGTAGCGAAGTGTCCGGTGATTTGATTGGGCGAGTAGAGGATGGGGGTGCAGAGTACTATGGCAGTGATCGCAATGCATCGTACGAATTGTTACGTTACTGCCCTAAAGTAAAGTAGTTGATGCGCTGGTATCGGGTCGCCCCTGGGAGCGGCAACCGCGTCACTTATATAGTTAACTTAGCGGCTGTTGATTTTTCCCGAGCAGTGGAAGTAATTTGGCAGTCTTACTTCGACGACGCGGGAAAGTACTCACCTGATACAGTATTGCCTTCGCGGTCTCTGTTGGCTTGTCCGCTGGGGATTGCAATCTCTGGATGCTATTCGGCAATGCCGCGTGGGCGCAGGAATGTCGCCTTGCTGAATCATGCTCATATCGGCAGCGGCCACTCCTCGAAGGCGGTGTTGCTTGTGGTTCATGTACGGTACAACGACTGGGACATCTGCAGGTTTGGTGGCTTACCGCACAAGTCGAAGAGGACATGATCCGGGAGCCTCGATGGTCTTCACTGCGGCCACGATTATTTTACGGGTCCCTAGTGCGTCGGGCCGTTCTCTCAAAGACGTTCCCATACCCTGTCGAGCCTGCCCATAGCAACGCAGTCAAAAATCCACTGTTTTGTAGGGATCGATTCGCTGTGTATTGGGAACGCTTCTCAGCCGATGCAATAGAAATCTGAACCCTGTGGCCGATCGATTCGGAGAGTCATTTAAGGTGATCGGGAAGAGGCGAAGAACTTGGCTTTGGAAAAGGTGCTGAAAGAGAAATATTATGATGCGACAAGCGTCGTGGTTGAGACCGATTTGGCCATTAGGAGGAAATGAGGGAATGCGCAAAGATCAAAGCTATCATCAGCTCCAGAAATTTGGAGATCGGAACTCATTGACTGCATAGTCTTGACTCCTCTATCTAGCACGAAGACTATACAGATATATTTCCACGTGTGCGAGCCACCCATCACGCAAGCAAAACCAGCTATGACCAGCATTCGGCTCGTCCTCGGTTTCAAAGACCTTCTGGAACCTGATCTGGTTTGGCTTCGGGAGAGGCTCCGTCTCCACGTCTTGAGACACAGACGCCAGAATCTCCGCATGTGATGTGGTGGATCCGTGCCTTGCGTCCCCTTAATACGATAAGCTGTAATACCTCCGGAAACGCTGGTTCTGCAGGGGCCAGCCAGCACCGACTCTTGAGCGCTTTAGTGCGGAATAAACCGTACCACGATGGAAAGCAGGCTGCAGTCAAGCCCAGACCTGCTTCTATAAAGCACTAGTATACTCCGTTCGTCGAGAAAACTGCTCTCCAACCGTTAGCCTACGCTTGGCACTAGCATGGCTTACACTCACAGTCGATATCGCTTTTGGCTACATATTCAACGTTGAGTGACTGAATAAATAAGACTGTTCTCGTGATTGACGCTTCGACGGTACTTCTCGATGTCAGCTAGGTTACTACAACGTGTAGTACGGTGGTGTCAACTTACAACAAATTCAACGCAAAGATGCCTGTGACACCAATCTTGCGGCCCGTTGACACGTGCAGCGACCAGATCTCAGTCTTGGATTTGCGAATAAGCTTCTCTACCATCCTGGGATCCAGCAGCGTCATATCAAAGGCATAGGGATCAGTAGGATAGCAACGTCGAAGCAAAAGTCCGATCTAGCGTACCCGAGATGCAGTCGCGTCGAGTTGTTGCAGTCTTCCTTTTCGTTGGCAAGCGATGTCCAGTAATGGGAACGGTGCGCCTTGCAAACGAAAAGGTGGTTAAAGGAGAACGCGATAATCCAACAAACGATAAGGCCGACCATTCCGTGTATGAGGCCTTTGAAGGCTTTACCTTTGCCCTTGGCGAAGATGCGTTTGTAGAATAACATGAAGCTGAGCTTGATCAGGGCCAAACGCGGTATTTGCATTAGCTCGATTGACCACAAGACCTAGCAGCTTGTCAGCGGGTGAACGTTCCCTCATGCAAAATATTGGTTGTTTTCACCTTTCGAGTCGTCTGCTGCTGATATGACGCAGAGTGAAACTCAGCGTAAGGGCTTGCTGGTTTGGGAGTCGGATACCCAATTGAATGGAGAGCGACGCCTTCAGGACGGACAGAGGCGAATTCGAACATCTACTGGGCGTAGCTTGAAGTGCCGGAGCACATATCCCAGTCAACAAGATCTGTAAAACGAATACCATCAGTTTTAGAATCCCTCTTCCCACTTGCAGCACTATGTCTTACCAATGCTGGGATGGTGAGCCAGTGGTGTGGTCGGGCCCCAACTTCGCAGTCTGCGTCTTCCTGGTGTAGAACCTCTAGGCCACGGCGACGGCACATACTGGCGGCCATATTGCATCAGCTGTTATGACGAGAAGAGCGGTAAGCCGTTCACTGGCCACCATGAATTTTGAATTGACTTGGAGCGCCACCTGTATGATGATTTTGAGAGTTATTTCCCCGATGACAAAAGTAGCGCGCTGCACTAGAGATCGAGAGAAGATGCCTGAGGGCGGTCGCAAGTAGTAGGTACGGTATGTAAATTGCCCAACCAGGGACACTGGGGCAGGGGAATGGTCCTCGTTGGGTAAAGTAGTCGACGGTGGTTGGATAGGAGAAGTCTTCTGAGGGTCTTACTTTGACTGATAGACTGACATTCAGCGGAAAGTTTGGCGTGCAACAAAAACAAGTCCCCACGCCCTCACTTATTCAAGCAGTCTGATTCGGTTTCTGCACAATTGCCTTGAACCACAGCAAGATTGATCTGCGTCGTGGCGAATGCCTCCCACCTTGGATTATTTGGAGAATAGGATATTGTCTCTTGTGTCCGGAGAACAAAAAAGAACAAATCAATCCCATCTTCTTCAATAAAATATAGAGTCCTCCTGCCATGCTGCGAGTGCAACCATCGGGCGAGGGGATGCCCTGGTTCCCGAAGCACGATGACTAGTGCTTCTTTGTTCCCCGAGGCTGCAGATAGCATGCAGAACTTCCAGCCGTTGACGTACATGAGAGCCTTCGGTTGATTCGTCTAGCTCCACTTCTCCTGTGGTTATCTGTTATAGCTTCCGAAGCCGCCGTCGTGATCAACGGGTATAAACCACGGGCCAAGTGTTGATCTCTCTAGGAAATGGGCTCTAGTCCCCTTGGTCGTTTGCAGAGTATCATTCTGAGGGCCGACTTTTTGCCAAGGGCAGTCCTTTGGTATCGGCTTGGGGCTGAAATGATCATGAGTATCAACAGAAGGCATAGAGGCACCACAATAAACCAACTATTGGACTTGATTTGTTGCATGTAGAGTGCAGCTGTCTGTGTACAAATTTGCTGTTACCCCGTGATCAGCTCTATAAGGGCTGGCGTGATTTCCGGCCAACATCTTGGCCTTCGTAGGGATCGAAGCCCAGGAAACCAATGTCAGCATCCGCCTTTGGAACTCCAACAACGAGGAGCTGTGGATCAACTATGCAGAGAAACGATATACGCCTCTGGAGTACAACTGCTGCTCATCACCTCATACTCTCAGCGCACCTGATATCTTGCACTCATCGCCAATTTCATCATTGACCTACCCTAAAATTAAAGATTGCAAGTGGTTTGAGCTCACCATCGGATCGACGCTGCAGACCTTGGTTGATATTTCTGTCTAGCTCCCATTACTGTTAAACACGAACGTGATCGTCAAAAACTCGCGCCAGCCGCCTTTCCGCCAGCGTAATCAAACTGACATATCAAGGAGATGTTTCGATACGTATCGGCAAGCAAGGAAGCCTGTCGTCATGTACACTAATTCCATACCTTCAGAGTCAATATTTTGGAGGTGGGATATAAGAACCACCTGAGCAGCAGGGCTCTTGACGCGACTTTAGACTGCATAAAATCTTCTTTTGTTTCTAATCTTTCAAGTCCCACCTTTCTCATCATCAGAAATCATTAATAACACCCCCCCAGGCAGGCAAGAACCCCGTGAGCGTGAACAAGTCATTCAAAGTATGTTCCTACAGAACCCCGGAAAAGTCGCCAGATCGAGACCAGTTTCTCCGATCCGAAAGTTAATTGCCAACGGTACACTCTAAAGCAGTGGCTCGGAGACTCTCGAAGGATTTGAAGGCGCCTGCAGAAGAGCCTTCCGTCACGAGACTCCATGGTGCTTAAACGAAGCACTACTTCGCTACCACCCTCCAAGCGCTCAGAGGATTGGCCGAACTTTCAGCCTTCTCATAGAATGCTTGCGTATCGGCACCTCTCCCTTTGGGAAAAGTCGGTGAGAACAAACTTGAGCTCCGCTGAGCCTTCCCCTCCTTCTTCCCAAACTTGTGCCAGCATCCCACCAACTCCAACGGGCGCAACTGGCTTTTTGCGCTCGCTTTGGCGTCCGTCGACTATATCTGATCAGCTATCCATCAAAGACCGATGATGTTGTGTAAATCTACATATCACAATCGGCGCCGAGGGCACACCGAGACTGGGGATGGCGAGACGTTTGCGAGGTGCATGGTGCACTTGGACTTGTGTCGTTCGGGTGTGACGGAAGATTTCCAGGCTCAGGCTTCGCATTCCATGATGATGGTGAAAATGACCGCTGTAACTGGACGCCCTGTGTCGGGTTTCTGCTTGTGGGTTGTAGCCTCGATGAACGATGGGTGTGTGCTTGGTTGGGGGGCTGCGGTGGCCACATTTGGCTATCTGTAATGGAACCTTTGTGGCCGAACGGCCGCCCAGCTTTCTCGGATTGCTTCATGCGTGGACCGGACCGGTCTTGTTTAAGGTGGGGCTATATGGTGTGTGCGGTTTCTCTGAGCGGAGAGTAGTACGGGAGTTTCTGACTAGGACCGGTTGCTGGTATTTATCTTACACACTGTACATTGAAAGAGAGGTGTTAGGATGGCTGCACTGAGTTTGTCATTGCATCATATTTCAATTCGTTATAGCAACATTCAAGGCTCGTTTTCACATTAGACTTCGTTACAGAACCTATCGATTTAACATGATTTTTGCAATCTTGACGTTTGCGAAACACGTCCCCGTAAGCGATACTTTTCGCACGTAATTCTCGCTCAACTATCACACCAGCACCAGCACCCTGACCTCATTGCTCCACCCTGCCTCGAGGCCCATCTCGTCCCACGCCGTCTCCACATCCACCTCCAGCACCGGAGCCTGCTCAGCAATCTTGACCGTGCGCATGGGTACCACCTTCTCGGAAATCATCACCAAGACATCATCTTCCACCACCTTTTGATGCAGAGTAGAGACGTAGATCCCCAGCATTCCTAGTGCCTTTAACGCCACTTCAATGCGCAGCCTACCGTTGTCTTCAAGGCGCGTCTCGGACCTAACAACAGCGGCCGCGCCGGTCATCTTGCCCAGCAGACCCAACACAGCGACCTTCGTAGCTGAAGGGTCTGGTATGGAGGGTTCTGGAATTGGAAATACGTGGAGAGGGTAGGCGGAAAGGATCTCATAGCCTTTGACCTCCACCTCCAGAGAGATGACGGGAGTTTCGCTACTCAATTTCATAGGATGCGTGACTTCGCCTGTGGTGTGCGTTCTCACGACATACTCCTCGCCGCTGCCGACCCCGGGGAAAGCGTTGATATTGACTAGCTCTGACAGCGAGCGTTCACTGACATTGAACAGAGCTAGTATACCTGTGCCACCTACACCGCCAGTGAAGGTACCCACTTTGAGAAGCCTCTCTTCTTCGTACCCGATGTAGATGCCCACGGCTTTGCCAATGACAGAGGGGCGAAGAATGATCGTTTTACCTTGAATGGTCCGGGCAGTCATCTGCGCGATCAGGTCTAAATTGTGTTGCCCAGGTTCATCTGTGAAATATATGGGACCTCCAGAGACGCAGCGACCAGCAGCATGGAAGGAGGAGTAGGGATGCGATGTTTGGAACATGTCCCAGTCTGGCAATATGTTAAGATGGCTTGTCAGAAGTGAGTTATGACCATTGACAAAGATATGCCAAGGATGCGAACTAGGTATGCCCGGGAAGAAGTCATCGCTATTGCGGACCATGATACGTGGCTTGTTGATAGGTAATTGGGTGTGAAACAATATCTGAGGGATCTGTGACATGCATGAGATGGCCTTGATGGAGAAGTAGCGGAGACCGTTGATGGTCCAGGCGTCTTGGTAGGCCTTGATGAAGCGGCGGCGATCAGGCGCATCAGCGAGAAGATCGAGAGCAAATTGAGCGTCCGTTTTCACAGAGTCGACGCCACAAGAGAGGAGGAATCTAGGAGCTGTGTTTTAGTGGTCATGAAGGTGATGAAAGTCTGGAGAACTTACTTGTAGAAGTCGTTGTACATCCTGTCGATGTCGTCCGCATCCACCATTGTCACTGTTTCTGCTGGAATCAGACTCCTCTCTTTGCGAACTGCAACAGTCTTGTACTTTTTAGCAATACTCCCATCCGGAGAAACACCTCCCCAGTATCCTGCCTGCATTGACTGTTATTTCCATGACATTGTCTGGACCTAAGGGGCGGACACACAATGGCATGCCAGACGGCTATATGTTGGATGTTTGGGTGATCTTCTCGAATATTCTTGATTGTATGCTTCAGTCCATGTGGGAAGCCTTCCTTATTTGCTTCGAAATCGGTCCAGCCTCGGTTGAACTGATGTTCGCCATGGGAGTCCTGGTATGCTTAGTCAAAGTCAAGAATAACATCCATCCTGCGCCAAAACTTACAAGAGACTGCCAGTTGTCATCGATGATCAAGTTTGTGACTGAAACCTATAAGCTTGAACGCAAAATTGATTGAGGACTCAAATGTACTTTTGATGTTGTTCTGCTTGAGAATATCCAACGCGTTGTATATCTTGTTCTCGTTCAGGTCTTGGCCCAACGCATTCCAGGTACAGTAAGTCAATCCATCGTACCAATTGTCCATCCATTCAGCCTTAACATCGTTCTCAATAGCGGTTTTCATCTCAGCCTTGATTTCATTACTCATATATTCATCTCCGCGGACAAGCTTGCGCGCATGATACATCACCGCAGCATTAGCTGACTCAAAATTCGGGGCAACAGCGGCAACAATCCTGGTCTGGCCGTCCATCGGGCTATCATTCCTTGATGAGGCGATGACATTTCCATGGCCATCATGTTTGAAGATAGTCAAGACATCATCAATCCCACTGACCGCAAGTAAGACCAGGTGAAGGCCATCCCAGCGCAAGAAAGAGCAGAGAATGGCATCTTCCTGGGGTTGGAAGTTTCCTTTGCCATGTCGAGGCGCAAGCCACGGGCTCCAGATCCTCACCAGCGCGAACCATCGGGTGAAGCTCCTTGGAACACCGAGGCTTGTTTCAGTCCAACCAGAAGTCTCGCCTTCCGCTGCTTTCACAGCTGTCGTGATTGACCATACTTGAGCATCTGGGGATTCGCTTGGGACAGACTGGACAGAGAAATCAGGACTAAGGTCCTTGAGATAGCTTGTCAACTCGGTAGGTGGCTTTTCAGGCTGGTAATATAGTTCTCCATCTGTGAAAGACGAGTTGTCGTTCACCCACTTCCAACCATGGGACGATGCGATGCGATACTTTAGCGTGAACTGCACAGAATCATGGAGGTTGGACGGAGTTGGTAGATCAATTGAGAAGAAGCGGCGGTACACTACGGCTCTGTTTTTGGAGCCGACCACAAGCTGTTGTCCATGTAAGCTCAGAGCCACTCAACTCGAGCATTGGGCCATGTTACAGGGCCAGTAGTTGTCTGTGTCTCCTCCAGACGCAATTCACGCCACTCGTGGTTCTCGTGACCGTTGTGCCAGAGTATGGCTTCCCATGGCTGTTCAGGGAAGGATCTGCTGGATTCTAAAAGGATTGTGAATTTGACCTGGCATATATCAGTTCATTGTAGTCCGTTCTCTACGTAGTACAAAAAGTACCGTTTCTCCGTAGGGAACAACTGTGGTCGATCCCAATGGCGGATCACAAATTGCATTTGCGAATAGTTGCATCTGAGCTGCTCTGACGAATTTCAGTTGGAACGGTTTCCCATTCAGATCATTCGTGACCATGCTGCTGCATGTTTTGCTCCTGGTTCAGATATGATGGCCCCTTGCATCCGTGCCCCTCGAACATCCGATGGTCCGAGTCTAGCCGTCGGAAATATTTCCGCTGCTAAGCGCGACTAGTTTTTCTCCCTGGCTTTGCTTTGCATTATGCACATCTTCAAGTCTTTGAACATTAATAAATGATTCCTCATAGTGCTCTCGGGCTATCACAAAACTCGCGATACCTATGCCCCTCATGTGCAAGTCGACTGCGCACCTTCAGCCCGGTAAGCCAGAGACGGTCCATCACGCAGAGTTATACCAAGAAAACATTGGAAGCAAAGCTAGCATGGGCGCGTCAAGCCACAGAGATCAAGGCTGGGAGGAAGGAAAGCATGTTGACCATACTGGAGAAGAGGGGATATGTCAACCAGATAGTAGGGTGAGATATCATGGCATACACGACATAGCAAGGACACATGGTTCTAACACACTACCAGCGAAAGAGGTGACCTGGATCGATTGCTGACAGAGAAGCGGGTTGGGATATATGTTGGAGTAGACCCTACAGCACCATCTATGCATGTGGGACATCTGTTGCCGTTGATGGTGTTGTATTGGATGTACATACATGGCTTCCATACCTGCTCTCTGGTGGGCAACCTTTTATCTGACTCCATGCGCAGTCTGACTGACAATTGTAGCTTGGAGGCGCCACCGCACAGATTGGAGATCCCACTGGACGAACGACGACTCGGGAAGTGCAGCATTCCTCAGTGCGGAAGGTCAACATGCTGCAGGTTCATATGCAGCTAAAGTTAATATGGGCTCATGCTGAACACAGAGCAAGAGGCTATGGATATTATTGGGAATGGGCGTGGAGGAAAGAGGTGACCAACAATAATGCCTGGCTGAACAAGCTGCCAGCCATTGAGCTCTTGAAATTGTTGGGCTCGGGTGTCAGGCTAGGGACTATGCTAGGAAGGGACACGTGAGTGAGTCGTGGCCATGTTTCTTAGAACCCTCGGAGCGCTGACTCCTTCTAGGGTGAAGAATCGAACGGAGTCGAAAGAAGGCATGTCTTTTTCGGAATTTACATATCCTTTACTGCAATCCTGGGATTGGTGGCATATGTATTCTACGAAGGACATACAGGTACAAGTTGGAGGATCAGACCAGTTTGGAAATATCGTCGCCGGTATAGACGCTATCAACCACATCAGACACAATCATTACGATCCACTCATCAGGCAGGAAGAGGAAAAGCTCGAAAAGAGGGAGGCTTTCTTGAAGAGACCAATGGGTTTCACGGTTCCTCTCTTGACAACTAAATCTGGTGCGAAATTTGGCAAGAGTGAGGGCAATGCGATATGGCTAGACAGGGAGATGACCAGCGGATTCGATCTATATCAGGTGATGATGACTTCCCTTGCCCACTCAAGCAGGTGCTGATCCCAAAAAGTTCTTTCTTAGGACCGCAGACTCAGATGTCCATCGTTATCTCAAGCTCTTCACCTTCGAACCTCTCGAAGTCCTAGAGACCCTTATGGAAGAACACAAAAGAGCACCACCCAAACGCATTGCCCAACACAAATTGGCCAAAGAAGTGCTCAAGATTGTCCATGGCGAAAAGCTAGCCGACGAAGCCGAACAAGAGCATAGCAAGATATTCAACAGGTCCTTTGACTCCAACCCACAGACTGACGACGATGGAAATCAATCGACGGACCACGTCGACAAGGCTGTACCTTCTATCAGCAAAGATAACGCCCCAACTAGTAGCCTCACACTCCCCAAATCTCTCATATACAATCAACCTATCTCTCGCGTTCTCTACCACGCTGGATTCGTCGCTTCTCGCAGCGAAGGTGTCCGACTGGTATCGAAAAAGGGCGCGTACCTAGGCGCGAGGCCTGGTGGAACTGGCACAATGGGCCAGCAAGTTGACTTCTCCCCAGCTGCAAATTGGCCAGGGAAGGAGACGGAGAAATATATCATTGGTGGCAATACGCTCATAATCAGAGTCGGAAAGTGGAAGGTCAGGGTTATCAAGATCATCAGTGATGAGGAATTCGAAGAGAAGGGTCTTTCCGCACCAGGCTGGAAGGATGTCAAGCCCGAAGAACCAATATCAAATGACCTCAAGAGGATGAAGACATGGCACAATAAGAGTTATGTCGAGAAAGCGCCCATACATAAGGTTCGTTCGGGAGAAGGCTCTCTTTTGGTGCCTGGAAGAGACAGACGCCGGATTTGAGGGGTGGTATACACAATCACGCCTAAGAGCTCATAGGATCAAGTTCAATGGTTCATAGGATAGTGGGATAAGGGAAAAACAGCGAAAGTGATCGCACGTTCCGGTAACAACCCCTCAAAGTCCTCTGCCTGCTCATAGTCTTCCCAGCGCCCACGCCTGGAAATGACAGGATCGCCTACCTGGGAATGAAGCATAAATCACGAAGCTTTAAGAGTTGTGGTCACTCTAAAAGATCCAAGGCGCGTATTTGCACGGTCCTAAAGCTGGAGATTGGCTAGAGTGGCTCGCAAGATCTATGGCTATTGTCAGTGTGGGGGGACAGTAGCTGCAGTATTTTAAACAAGCATATTCGATATCCGCCATGCTGGCTATCGTCATTTGGGCGGTAGAGATGCGGACGCTGCTCCGTTGAAATATCGTCCCCTAGCTCTAAAACGGCTCGCATGGTTTGCATGCTTGTTGCCGAGATATGGAAGCCAGCTATATGGCGCGACTCGTAAGATGTCTATTACCCTTCGAATTCTTACCGACATTCTCGCATTTAGCTCCAAGAGCCGCCAGCATATCGCGTGAGGGCCACAGGCAAGCCCGTGCACATCTAAGGACTACAAGCACTCCTTTACACAGTCAATTTCTTATATACACGTTGATATGTTGTAAATTCTAGCAATTCTTTCTTAGTATCCTCGCAAACAATAGCTGACATGGCATTCCCGTCCATCTCAAATCTGCCCTTATGGTTCAAAACGCTCTGCCTTCTTTCTATCGCCCGACAGTCTGAATGCTCGCCCGTTAGCATCGTCGGCTACAATTCTCTCGTCAACGTCATAGATACTGCCTCTATGGTCAACACTAATGTTACATCTTCCGCCGATAAAAGCGCTACATTCACGTTCAGCTCCACCAAACTGGGAGCACCGATACCCAACTGCGCCACCCTACCGGACTACGCCGAATGGTTCCAGCCCAGCGAGAAATTCGACAGCGGCGACTGTCCCAAAGCCCTCGAGCTCTTCTTCACAGACTATACTCTAGATCATGATGGCACCAAGTACGAGTTCCTAGCTTCAGGCGTGACTCCTGTTCATGGAATAGCCACTCAGAGGGTGCCCCTGAAGGTGGCTTTTGGTGCGTCAAATAAATGGTGCTGATCAGACCCAAGTTGACCAGTACATTGACTCTGGAACTAGGGACCTGTTACGTCGTCATCGCCATGCGCAACATGTTCGTCGAAGGAGAATTGCCCGGCGAGACACCGTCCAAGTCTGCAGGCTCAGACATTAGCTCTTTTGCGGAACTATACCAGAACGCCCTGGAGATCTATGCGGAATGTAGTCAGCCGGAGGTTAATCAACCTGGGTGGTATCCTGCAGGTAGGCCTCCCACGTCATCCAACCGAACTGTCTCCCTTGCACCTCTCTGGTTGGATTCACTGACTGGGTCATCCAGGCGACTTGAACAGCATTGGCGTCTTTATCTGGCAAGCGGCGAGTGAGATCAATAAACGCGTTAAACTTCCTCCGCCCACAAGTTCCGATCTTACTCCTACGTCTGGGTACGGGTCCATTGGGGATTTGTTTGGTGATACAGCGTAAACAGTATCAATGGAGGGTGTTCGTATACACAGGTCAGGTTATGTAGGCGCATGGGGTCCTAATTTGAAGCTTGGACGCGACTGCATTTATCGAGAAACATAAGAGCGGGCTCTTAGGGTTGTGTACAATACGCTGGGTAGCAAGAAAGTATGATTGTATCCGCAGGCAAGCTGCCCGAAGAAGCGGCAGTCTTGTGTGTAGGCATTTTCCAGATGTAGTGCACTCATACGCAACGAGCCAAGAAAGTCTGCCAGAAAATGTCCAGAAACATGCAACGCAGTGCTCTACGGGCCATAAACCTCCGACCACGTGCCCATAATATTAAACAGTCGAAGGGTTCCCACGAATGCGAGGCCCTAGTAGGGGACAAAATACTTCCCCCTTTTTCTAATAAAAAAAAAAAAAAAAAATAATTTTTTTAAAACCCCCATATAATTTTATAAAAAAAAAAAAAAAAATTTTTTTTTTTTTTTAAAAAAACACCAAAAAAAAAAAACCCCAAAAAAAAAAAAAAAAAAAAAAAAGTCAACAAAAAAACCCCCCCCCCCCCCCCACCCCCCCCCCCCCCCCCCCCCCCCCCCCCCCCCCAAAAAGAAAAAAAAAAAAAAAAAAAAAAAAAAAAAAAAAGGAGAAATTAAATATTTTTTTTTTAAAAAAGAAAAAAAACCAAAAAAAAAAAAAAAGGAAAGGGAAAAAAAAAAAAAAAAAAAAAAAAAAAAAAAACCCCCATTTGGGGGGGGGGAAAAAAAAAAAAAGAAAAAAAGGGGGGGGGGGGGGGAGGCGAACCCCCAAAAAAAAAAAAAAAAAAAAAAAAAAAAAAAAAAAAAAAAAAAAAAAAAAAAAAAAAAAAAAAAAAAACCCCCCCCAACCCAAAAAAAAAAAAAAAAAAAAAAAAAAAAAAAAAAAAAAAAGGGGGGGGGGGGGGGGGGGGGGGTTTAAATATAGGTTTTTTTTTTGGTTTTTTTGGGTTTTTTTTTTTTTTTTTTTTTAAAAAAAAATAAAATTAAGGAAAAAAAAGATTTTTATAAAAAAAAAAAAAAAAAAAAAAAAAAAAAAAAAAAAAAAAAATGTGGCCTTCAACGGGGTCTGGTAACCGTCCAGGCGCGGCTGGACGGTAACCCACGCTAAGCCCTACCGCCTAGCATCAAATAATTAGAACAACCGGAATTCGATATTTTCGCTTCGCAAATATAAGAATATTTTAATAGCGTTATATATAGCTAGCTTAATTACTTATTTATTCTTAATAAATATAATAATATTACTTAAGATTTCTATTAAAAATAGCTGAAATATTAATAGATATTAATATATAGATATTACTTTAAGAGAATTTATAAAAGCGCGAAGCGCGAATTTTTCGCGAATTTTTACTATAGCGAAAAATTCGAGTTTTAAGGACGGTTATTACTATTAAAGAAACAGTTATTAACTTATATTAAATATATTCTTTATATATATAAATTTAGCTAATAAATACGATAAACTTAAATTTAAAATTATCTAATAATTATTCGAGATAATTACTCTTAATAAAAATTTAAGCGATTCGAAATTATCGTAACTATAATTTCGATAATTTCGAATAATAATTTTAAACGATAATTTCGAACGATAATTTCGAACGATAATTTTAAACGATAATTTCGAACGATAATTTCGAATGATAATTTCGAACGATAATTTCGAATGATAATTTCGAACGATAATTTCGAGTTAAAAAAGAATTTAAATTCTCTAGAAGTAGATATTAATAACTATTCTATATATATTAAATATATATTAAATAATAATTCTTTTCTTTATTAATATACTTACTTATTTTTTTATTTTTTTATTTTTTTTATTTATTATTTTTTTATATCTTAATATATATAAAGAAACTATAAAATTAACTTAACTTTTTATTTATTTTTTATATTTTAACGCTTTTTTTCTTTATTATATAAAATACTCTAATCTATTATATAAAATATTATATTTTTAATAATATTTATAATATATAAATATTATAAATTAAATTTTTTTAAATAAATTTAATAACTTAGTTATTTAATATATTTTTATTATATATAAAAGATTTATAATAAATTTATAAATAATTCGAAATTTTCGAGATAATTCTATTATTATTAACTCGAAATATTTAAGACTTTAAAAGATAATTCGAAACTTTCGCGATAGTTTTATAATTAACTTAAAATAATCTTAAAAATACTTTAAAATTTTCGAGATCTTTATAAAGTACTAAATCTTACGCGAAAATTTAAAACTTTCGAGATAAACTTTATCTTTTAATTCGAAATTCTAAAATTATTTCTTCTACTTCGAAATTATCGTAATAATAATAATAATAATTTTAAATTTTTCTATTATACTTATAAATAATTTTATTATATTTATAAATATTTATATTAGCTATCTATATAACTAAGAGTCTTTATTTTCTTCGCTATTACTATTACTATCTTAAACTAATTATATTTCTTAATATCGTTAAAATCGTTTTACTTTACTATAAAGGTCTTTTATTTATACTCTATTACTTTCTTTTCGATATTAAAATAAAGCGATAGACTCTTCTAAACTTAATTTTATCGAAGCTTATAAGATTACTTAAGTATTATCTACTTTTTAAATATATTAAATCTATTTAAGTAAGGCACTTTAAGTCTTTAATATCTCTTTTCTATATTTCGTGAATTTTATTAATACGAAAGCCCACATAGTCTCGTCGCTTTCGAACTTTTAGCGATAAGTAAATATTATCTAAATAAATAAATTATTTAAATAATCTTTAAAAAGTTTAAGGATATAATATCTTTATAGTATTATATAATTTCTTTATATACTTTTAAGACTTAGGTTATAATAAATAAACTTAATTAAAATATTTATAAGAAACTCGAATATCTCGAATTTAAATGGCTAATAAGAAATTATAACTATTCTATTCTTGAATTAATTAAGATATATCTCTAGATAATTAACTTAAAGATATAGTATTCGAGATTTTATTTTCGAAGAACTCGAGTATAGTATAAGATATCTTAAGAGTATAAATCTTAATTATATTAACTAGAAGTTTATTTTATTCGAAGTATAATCTAGTCTTCAAAGAATTCGAGTTTTATAAATATTAAATATCTAGAATTCTTATATTATTTTATCTCGATTTAGATATATAATATAATAAATTTTAATACTTAATTATAATTTAAATATTAATCGAAGATTAATATCTTTCTTTACTTTAATTTAATTAATCTTAACTAAGATTAAGTATAGAATAATTTTCTTAAAATTTATTTTCGAATTTTTTAAGATAATATTACGATCTTTATAATATAAGAGTTAAAGAATTATTTTAAAAGATTATAACGTTTAATAACTAAGATATTAAAGCTTTACTATATAAATCCTTATATAAATAAAATAATCTTCTAAATTTTTAAATCTCGAAATTTATAAGATTTATTAATTTATAACTTCTTAATATATTCTTCGCCTAGCGTTAATATAAACTAATTAAATTTTATAAAAAATAGTAATTTATTAAGAAGTATAAAAATCTTAAGCTTTTATTTTAAGGTTAATATTTCGATTAGAGATTATAATTTATTTACGATTCTATAGATTTTTCTTCTAAATTTTTAAAGATTTTAATCCTCGTAATATTCCGTTAATACTTCGAAATTTATAAAATATTTATTAAGATCTTATTTAAGAATTTTAAAGATATTTTTTTTTATATAGCGAGAAGTAAATTAAGCGAAATATTAAGAGGTATTCTACTTATAAAAAATAACTTACTCTATAATTCTATTACTTCGATTAATTCGAAGATAATAAATAGATCGTTTATTAGTATTAGAAAGATTGATTTTTTAAGGTTAAAATTAATTCGAAATTAATAATTAAATTAAAGCTCTTAAAAATAAAGAATATATTAAGACTTTAGAATTAGAATAACTTAAAAATATTAAAGGTTTATATATTAATAAAATAGAAGATTAAGAAAGTTATAATTCTTTTTATTAAATTAAGTAGATTACTTAAGCTTCGATAAATAAAAAGACTTTAAAAGTATATTATAGATAATATAAATTATTTCGAATATTTATTTATATTAAATTTAAAAACTTCGAAGATAAACTTAATATTTTTAAAGAGTATTTATCGAAATTAATTATTTTATAAATTTATATATTATATAATTATAATTAGATAGATTAAGAATCTCGAATAACGAAGAAAATAATATCGAATATATATAGTTATACTCTAAAAATGCGAGCTCTTATTTTTTAATATTATAATAATATATAAGATAGAGAGAGTTAATAATATTCGAAAGATTCGAATAGAAAATAGTAAGGGAATCCTTTACTTTTTATATTTATTTTAAGATATATAAAAGTTATTTATCGTAAAAAGGTTCATATTTTTTAATTATCTTATAATCTTAAAGAATATAAATATTAATTTATAGAGAGTAGATATAAGTAGAAGAGATATATATTAGTATAAGAGTAATAAATATTAAAAAACTCGAAAAGTTATTTCGATTTAATAATATAATAGAACTTCGACTAGAATAATAATCTTTATTAATCTTAAAAACTTCGAATCTTTAAATTTAGAAAGATACTCGAGAATATATTATAATAACTCTAATCTATATAATTACTTTTTAATATTTACTTAAAGTTAATAAGATTCTCGCCTTAGAATATTATTAGATTAAGCTTCTTAATTCTTAAATTAATTAAATATTAATTATATTATAATATAGAAAGATATATTAATTTAGAGATAAGTTTAAAAATCTCGAGTTTTAAGATTAATTTATATCTTTAAGAGTTTTAAGTCTTAATCCCCTTTAAAAGTCTTAAGATTTAAATTTATCGTAGATCTTATCTAATACGATTTAATAGAAATTAAACTCTTTTATATATACTACGATCGATAATATTCTTAATTTAATATATCTTCTTTATATCTAGAATAAATAAATATTTCTAACTTTTAAAAGGGTCGAGTCTTTCGTAGATTTAATGAATATAATATTTCTTAAGAAATAAATTTAGTAAGACTCGAAAACTTCGAAATATAATAAAATTTTCTCTAAATTCGAAGTAGCTTCCTTAGTATTTTCTAACTTAATTTTAAAATAATCTTATAAATATTAATAAAAATTCTAAAGTTTATAAAATTTATTCTTTTTAATAAGAGGGAATATAATATCTAATAAGTTATAAGAGATAAAATCTTCGAAAATTATATAATTAAGATGAATAGAGTATAGATTATAATACGCTTTATATTATTCGATATTGTTAAGGAAATAGTCCTAAGTGGAATCATATGCATGAATAATGTATGTGTGGTGTGATAATGATGAACTATGTAGGCCTGCAGTGGAAGAAGTCTCTGCAGTGCCGCAGTGCCAAGGCACTAAGCCCAATCGGGACGCCTAGTGGAGGAATCCGTAACAAATGCCACCGAAGAAGAAAAATGACAGCGTCCTCGCTGCAGACATGGAGACGCCAGAGATACATCAAGTGCCATAGGCCTGCTTCTCCTGAATCTTCCCCAGCTATCCTTGACCTGTAGCCTCCATGCCTTTCGCGTAGTGAATGTAGTCAGGTGGAGAGGCGAGTTGAGAGGCGAGAAAAGAGGCGAGAAGAGGGGAGAGAAGTGGAGCGTTACTGAGGCGAATGGCAGACTCTCTGCAATAGTGCATAGTAGCCTGGTGTGGAATAGTGGAGAGCGTGCCGGCTTGAATAGGACTGCTGCTGCCCGTGCTCTTGTTCTCCGTAGTCTTCTCCGCAGTTTTCTCCGCAGTTTTCTCCGCAGTTTTCTCCGCAGTTTTCTCCGCAGTTTTCTCCACAATTGACTGTTGCTGTCTGGTCTCGAAGGCTGTCATAGCCTGACTGATAGCCTGTCCGATTGCTGCTTTGACGGATGCATCGATCATGGCCTGTAAGGACGTAGCTTGCTCGGCTGTAAAACCCGGCATAGGGCTGGAAATGTGGCTTTCGTACGTCATGGTGGTAGGACGAATGGTGGTAGGACGAATGGCCTAGTGAAAGGATCGCTGTAGACGAGTGTTTGTAGGGTCCGATTAGGTGCTGGACAAGGCGAGGTAGGCGTCTAAGAGACACTGGAGATGCTGCACTCGGTGGGAGTGGTATTCTCTGTAGATTTCTCCGGTAGTGAGTAATGTAGGGGCCTCTTGGTATTGGAGGCACTGAATAGGTGAGAATGTAACGAGGACAGCTAGTGCCAGGCCTGAATCGACCGAGGTGTTGCTACCATTGTTAAGGAATAGTCCTAAGTGGAATCATATGCATGAATAATGTGTGTGTGGTGTGATAATAATGATGAACTATGTAGGCCTGCAGTGGAAGAAGTCTCTGCAGTGCCGCAGTGCCAAGGCACTAAGCCCAATCGGGACGCCTAGTGGAGGAATCCGTAACAGATATCTCTATAATTAAAATAATAATTCGATAATATTTTAAAAGAATTTTATAAAGTTCGAATAATCGATAACTCGAAAATATTATATATATAAAAGAAGTTATTAATATACTTAAGCTTTAATTACTTCAAATATACTTAAGATATAAATATTTCAAATATACTTATTCTTCGAGATTTTCGAAGAAAATAATTTTTATTAAATTCTTATAGAATTTGAAGAATAATTCTATATATTAATTATATCTTTTTAAGATAATTATATATCTTTTTATATAATAATATCGTTCTCTTCGATTTTAATAATAGCGACGCTATTAATTAGATTAATAGTAGCTTTATTAATAATCTTAAACGTCTTAAAGATTTTCTAAAAAAAGATATTAAAGTATTTATTAGCGTTATTAATTAAATTAATAATAGCTTTATCGACGATCTTCGATAATCTCAAGCTTTTTAAAGATTTTTTAAAGAAAGATATTAGAGTATTTATCGACGTCGTAATATTTTATATTTATAACGAAAAATATAACTTCCCTTTAAAGAATAAATTTATCTTCGATATTTTCGAAATAATAAGGAAAATTTTTAAACTTCTCAGGGAAATAAATTAAATTTTTTTTTTTTTTTTTTTTTTCTTTTTTTTAATAATTATCCGGCGGAAAAAAATAAATTAATTTTTAAAATTTACCTATCAAAACTAAATTAAAATAAATTTTTAATATTTAGAGATACAAAACCTTATATAAATTAAAATCTTAGAGATTTTAAATAAATAAATATTTAGTGCAGCACAAAAAAAAATTCCTTTTTATTGGGGAGGTAGGAATAAAATAAAAAAACTAAAATATTTGGTAGGGGGGAAGGGAGGGATATGGTAGGGGATGCCTCCGCCAAGGCCCGCTAGCCATAGGGCTGAGGGCTGAGTGTCAAGGGTACGCTCGTAACAGTACTCCCCCCTCTCAAAGAGCCATGGCCCCCATGGCTGGTAGACCGGAGATGCAGGCCCATTGCTTGCCTTGTATCTCCAAACATCCATAGTCCCGTGTAGGCCTTGGCTGGAGATGATTGAGATCCCGGAGATGTAGTCATATCTTGGATTCTCCAAGTTCTTCTACGGTCCAGCCTGCCTGCTATAGGCCTTCGAAAGAACTGAATAATTCCATCGCATGCATATGTGTTGTGCTCGCTGAAAATCCATAAAAAAATAAAGAACTTTTGATGCCCGGGACTTTCAATACGGCATTCTTCCCCAGCGGCGGTAGCAGCGAGTAACATATCGCGTCCCGGAGATTCCCGCATTAGGCGTCGTCGCTAGCCTATTAAGGTGTAGTCGTCATAGGGGTCCCAATTTGATAAGAAATCGGTGGAAGAATTGAATGGATAATGATCGAAAAATTGTTTTGGTGATCCATGGTGACTCCCGAGTCGATATTCCAGCGCAAAGGATATTGATGAAATGATGCAATTTGATTGGTCGAGGCCTCCCGAACCGAACCGAGCCGCAGGCGCTAAAACTCTAAATCAATATCAAATGATTCTGGTGTGAGTTTCTCCATGGGATGCCACATAGCCGATATCGATCGAGGCTATCAACGGCGACAGTGAGGTCCATAGGTGACGCACCATGGCTTCGGAAGACCTTCATGCATATGACAACAAGGGGAGCCTGATTGGTGGGCCTGACATGAGGTAATTGTTGAGCAACATGGGCCTGAGGAATCGATTTGCGAATGTGAAAAATGAGGCCATTCTGAAGACATCGGATGGTTTCAATTCGTTCAAAAACACGATGTCCGAGGATTTGCCGGTGCCCATGCTGATTTCGACTGCATTTGGGCTGCTGCGTCTTTGATTATAGATAGCCCTGGCAACTGAGTTCGAATGCTTCGTCGATATCTATGTTAGGGCGGGAGTATTTGCCATACTTCTATACATTAGCCTAGTTTTCACACCCACGTTCGTATGCCTCATCGATATCTAAATCCTCGTTATCGCTCACGTTAGAACGAGTTATAATTAAGTATTTCCCCTTTTTGGCATCGGCCTCGGCCTTTGCTTTTGCATATTGTTCTGCAAACCTCTTTACTTTCTTTTCGGCTAGTCCTTCTGCAAATTGTTGATAATCAAGCTATTTTCTTATGATATACTCCTTTAGCTGAGGTATGGTCCAATCCCTTTCATATATCGTAAGTGCGTCACATAAACGAAGCTCTGATTTCTCTCGTAAATCACGTACGATATTATTAGTGTCTTTGAAATTGCTTTCGTATTCGACGTATATCATAAAGTCCCCATAGAATTTGAGAAAGGGCTGACTCCCTTAACTCATTCTACTGTAAGTACGCTGATGCGTCTGTCGAATAATGGATAACGGTACTTCGTATATGTTGCTTAGATGATTTAGAAGGGCGTCGGTTGTAGGATACGAGCGATATCGTCGTCTGGTAGACACATGGTGACTGGCCTCCCCTCCAAGTCTCGCTACAACGTAGGCAATTTTGAAAGCATCGGTAAGGAAATGATCGCCATTGTGGGTAAGCTTGTCTTGGATTCTCATTTTCCAGTCATCAAATGGTACTGAATTAGTGCCCGTGAAGACAGGTGGATCCGGTAGCCTCGGGCTGAGTGGCTGTCTGATTTGCTGTCGGCTGACTGTGGCGAATTGATCGATGTCGATGTCGATTTGCTCTCAGTGCTTCGAAATCTCGTGGTATGGGTGGTGGTGGGGACGGGGGTGGAAAGGCAGAGATGCCAGCCGAGTTTTGGGCCTGTGTCTCTTCTTGCTGTCCTGGTATCTCCTGCGAAGGGAGGGCTGGGATGCCAGGCGGATTTTGGCCTTGTGTCTCGGGTTCTTGAGCCTGATTCTCCCCTGGCTGACTCGATGTTCCACGATATCGCTGGTAAAGGTCCTCAGCAGATAGAGATCGCTGCACACGTGGCATGCGGAGTGACGGCGAGTTGGGAGGTGAATATCTTCTATGTAGGTCGTCGTACGTAAGGTAGGGATGGCCGCGGTATGTAGGAGATCGTGGCCTAGAGGAAGTATTCTCATGTCGACGGTGTGGAGGGCGATATCTTGGTGTTGATGTAGGTGGATTTGAGTTGGAATTCATGATGTGTTGAATGTAGGTAAAAATGGAGTGGAGCGGAGAGATCTCTGGAATTCTGGTACTGTGAAGGCGTTTGCGAGTCGAGAAAGGTGGCAGATCTCTGTGTTGAGTGTTGAAATTTTGTTTCTTCGCGGGGGTCTGCAACACTCGTTTCTTGACCGATCAAGTCGCCGTAAAGACTATGAGTACTCTGAATAGTGTCCTTTCGAATGGTAGGAAGTCCGCCGGGGGTGTGTTAGCCGGTGATAGAGTTTTTGCGGGGAACGGAGCGGAGAAGGATTTCTTGTATTCGATGTAGGGGACTCGTTTTTTGATGGATTGGGCTACCGTTGATAGTGTAGGTTGTTTGATGTAGGTTCTTTCGAATGATGTAGGTATTGTGTGGTGGGGCTCCTGTATGGTAGAAATACCCAGCGTTTTCTTTATCAGGCTCGGTCGCTTGCTCCGAGCAGAAAGTGAAAAACCCGTCAATTCTCTTCGCCGGGGGGGGGGTACGAAGGAGCCTTATTATAATGTCAGGACCAGCATAGGTGCGATACCAGTATGGGTGAGGTAGAACTAGGATAATAAGGCTACCGAACTATGTATCGTTTAATATTTTAAGATTTCTATAATAACTTAATACTTATTAATTAACGCGTTAATATTATTATATCTAAGCTACGATAGCGCTTATTATTAAATTCTATATTACGCTCTTAAATAGCTTAAAAGATAAGATCTACTTAATCATTAACGCGTATAATAAAATTATTCTTAATACTTATATCTTATTTAGCTTTAATATTATTTATTTCCTCTTAATTCGAGCTTTTATCTTTATTTATATATATAATAATTCGCGCGATAAGCGAAACTTTAAACTTCTTCGTAATTACGCTCGCGTATTTTTCTTATATAATATTATTAAAATATAAGTTTACTAGAATAATAATTAGAATTAGAAATTACTTATTATTTATCTATTATATCTTATTTAATTTACTTAAAAGCTTACTTCTATTATAATAACGATATATTAATATATTTAACTTTACGCTTTTTAATAATTATAGCGTAATTAATAGTTAAGATATTAGCTTTCTTTACTTTCTTAACTAGTTTCTTCTTAAATATAAATATATTTATTCACTATCGCGATCTCTTAATATCTTTATTTTAATTAAACTTATTCTTTCTTTTTTATCTTAAATAAGAATTTAATTATTAGTTAATTAATCTATATTAACATTTTTTAATATCGCTATTATTATTAATATTTAATATTTATTATAATAAATTATTAGACTTAATCTCTTCTATTTTAATTACTATAAAAAGATAAATTAATAAATATATATAAAAGAATTAAAGGGCTTATATAAATATCTATAAATACTAAGCTATTCTTAATTTTAATTAAAGCTCGTTTTATTAAAAAGTGCGTTAATTCTAATAAATATCGATATTAGAAATAAAGAGAATATATATCGCGCGCTATTTTAAGTATATTATTATAGAGTCTAATTTAAAGAATAATTATTTCTATAAAAGTAGTAAGACTTAAAGATAAGAAAGTAAGAACGAAATACGCGAAAATTTTAATAAGTTATAATAATTTAATATTAATTAAATTAGATAAAGGTAATTACTTACTAGCTCGCTCTCTTAAATCTTTTATCTTTTAATCTATATAAATTATAATAATAATTATAATTATTATAGAAGTAGTTAAGATTATATTAAATAATAGCGCTTAATAAGCGTAATTCGCTTAAACTTAAATCTTTAAAATTAAAGAGAAAATATTTTATTAATATTTAATTTAAGCTAGATAATTTAAAGTAATTTAAAAATTTAGTATACGCGATAGATATCTAAGCTTTTCTTCCCCCCTTCTTTCTCTCTAAGACTTTCTTTTTATATTAATTCTTTTTATTATTAAACTATCTTCTTTATATATAAGATTTTTATTTAAATAATCTAATATTATTATAGCGATATTAAAAGTATAACGTAGTTATTAAGTTATATATTTATTCTTTATCTTTTAATAACTTTAAGTTAATATATAGATAGATTACGCGAAGAGCTTAACTTATATACGCTTAATCTATTATTAATAGCTTTTTAAAAAAGTTAATATTATTCTAGAGTATTAAATATAATATTAAAATAAAGTTTTTATAAAATACTATTATCGCTTTAATCGCTATCGTCGTTATTTTAATAGATATTATTTCTACTTTAATAAATACCGTCTCTACTTTAATAGTATTAAGATATCGATAGAAATTAAATAATATATTCTTTTAATTATTATTATATTTATTATATATAACTAACGCGAGCTATAGCTTAAGCTTTACGCGAGATTTATTATTATTAAAAATTAACTAATCTTATAATTTCGAAGCTTCTCTTTTAATATCTAGTTTATTAGATTATATTTAATAAAAATTTATTAAAGCGCTATCGCATTTAAAGATTCGCTTTTAAAATATTATATAAGATAATAGAAATCTTTCTAATTCGTTAATTTAAAAATAAGTTTTTTATTATTACGCTTTATAATTAGCTCTAATAATCTCTATTTAAATAAATACTTATCTTTATATAATATATAAAAAGCGAGTTATATTATAGAAAAAGAATCTAAATCTTATAATTATTTTAATTAAGTTATTTAGATTAAAAATAAAAATAAAGTTATCTTTATATAATTTAGTTAATTTATTAACTAATTATTATAAATATAACTATAAAATATAATTATATATTATTAATTACTCGAGTAATTAGAAGAAGTATAAAAGAAATAAAATTATATAATTAAGTACTTATAAACTTTCCTCTTCTAAGTATTTATTTTAATTTAAAGTTTAATTACTATCTAATTAAAAAAAAGGTGAGATATAAAAAGTATATAAAAGTATATTTAATAATTTTAGAATAAATTAACGATATTTATAATAATAATTAAAATTAAGAATTAGATATACTCGAATAAAAGATAACTTCGCGTTATTTATATAATAATAAGAGTAATAGCTAAGATTAAAGTATTAACTTAAATAGCGTAACTTTTATAATAAACTTTTTATTACTATATATTAAATTAATTATATATTAATAAAGATTTATAATTTTATCTTTTAGACGTAATTATATTTAATATCTTAAAATTATTATAATAGCTTAATACTTATTAATTAACGCGTTAATACTTTTATATTTAAACTATAATAGAGCTTATTATTAAATTCTATATCGCGCTTTTAAATAGCTTAAAAAATAAAGTCTACTTAATTATTAGCGCGTATAATAGAATTATTCTTAATACTTATATCTTATTTAGCTTCGATATTATTTATTTTCTTCTAATTCGAGCTCTTATCTTTATTTATATATATAATAATTCGCATAATAAGCGAAACTCTAGACTTCCTCTAAATTACGCTCGCGTATTTTTTTTATATAATATTATTAAAATATAAGTTTATTAGAATAATAATTAGAATTAGAAGCTATTTATCGCTTATCTATTATATTTTATCTAATTTTCTTAAAAGCTTACTTTTATTTTAATTACGATATATTAATATATCTAGCTTTATATTTATTATAGACTATAGCGTAATTAGTAGCTAATATATCGACTTTCTTTATTTTTTTAATTAGTTTCTTTTTAAATATAAATATATTTATTCGCTATCGCGATCTCTTAATATTTTTATTTTTACTAAGCTTATTCTTTATTTTTCGTTTTAATTAAAAATCTAATCGCTATCTAATTAATTTATATTAAGACTCTTTAATATTATTATTATTATTAATATTTAATATTTATTATAATAAATTATTAGACTTAATATCTTTTACTTTAATCGCTATAAAAAGATAAATTAATAAATATATATAAAGAAATTAAAGGGCTTATATAAATATCTATAAATATTAAACTATACTTAATTTTAATTAATACTTATTTTATTAAAAAGTGTATTAATTCTAATAAATATCAAAGTTAGAAATAAAGAGTATATATCGCGTACTATTTTAATTATAAAATTTAAATTAAAAGAATAATTATTTATATAAAGAAAAGAAAATAAAAATGAAATACGCGAAAATTTTAATAAGTTATAATTTTAATTAAATTAGATAAAGATAATTATTTATTAACTCGCTCTTTTAGATATTTTATCTTTTAATTTATATAAATTATAATAATAATTATAAATATTATAGAAGTAGATAAGATTATATTAGATAATAACGCTTAATAAATATAATTACTTAAATTTAAATCTTTAAAATCGAAGAGAAAGCGCGTTATCTATTAATACTTAAATTAAATTAGATAATATAAAATAATCTAAATATTTAGTATACGCGATAGATATATAAGCTTTTTCTTTTTTCTAAAACTTTCTTTTTATATTAACCCTTCTTCTTATAAGATTATCTTCTTTATATCTTAAACTTTTATTTAAGTAATCTAATATTATTATAGCGATATTTAAAGTATAATATAAATATTAAGTTATATATTTATTCTTTATTTATTAATAACTTTAAGTTAATACGTAGATAGACCGCGTAAAGAGCTTAACTTATATATATTTAATTTATTATTAATAGCTTCTTAAAAAAGTTAATATTATTTTAGATTATATAAGATAATAATCTATTTAAAAGTATTATAGTAAAGCGTTTATTAGATATCATCGTTACTTTAATAGATATCGCTATTACTTTAATAGATATTATTATTACTTTAATAGATATCGCCTTTACTTTAGTAATATTAAAGTATTAATAAAAACTAAATAATATATTCTTCTAGCTATTATTATTCTTATTATATATTACTAACGCGAGCTATAGCTTAAACTTTACGCGAGATTTATCGCTATTAAATTTTAATTAATCTTATAATTTTAAAGCTTTTCTTTTAGCGCGTAATTCGTAAAATTTTATATTATATATATATTATATTATTCGACTATTATCTTTAAAGT